CTGTTCTAGTTCTGTTCTAGTTCTGATCTAGTTCTAGTTCTGTTCTAGTTCTGTTTTAGTTCTGTTCTAGTTCTGTTCTAGTTCTGTTCTAGTTCTGTTCTAGTTCTGTTCTAGTTCTGTTCTAGTTCTGTTCTAGTTCTGTTCTAGTTCTGTTCTAGTTCTGTTCTAGTTCTGTTTTAGTTCTGTTCTAGTTCTGTTCTATTTCTGTTCTTATATTGTTCTAGTTCTGTTCTATTTCAGTTCTGTTCTAGGTATGTTCTAGTTGAGTTCTAGATCAGTTCTAGTTCTACATCTAGAGAGGCCAAACTTTTAAGAATCACTGTGGTCAAAGTATGCAAAGCTTTTTAAAACTTTAATTATTTTTGGTATTACCTTATTATTTTTCTTTTTTTTCTGTTATAAAATAAAAAATTATTAATTATTACTATTAAAGCATAAAAATAATTAATAATCAAGGTACCTAAGAAACAAAAACGAACAAAAAGTAATAAATATTATTAATAATGGTATAAAATTTCAACTACAAGTGTTTCTTTCTTGATTCTCTTTTCAAAAAAGTTTCTTAAATAATAAAAATGATAATTTCATACAAAAGGAGAAAGCGTTTTAATTTAGAAAAATTAAAGTTTAATAATAAATACAAAATATATCTATAATTTCTATCTATTAGAAAAAAAATAACAAAAAAAAAATTAAATAAATTTCGTAGTAGTTAAAAAAGATTAAACAATATTAGTCTTAGTATAACATACAGCACAGATGGATTTTTTTAACACACACAGCTGGAGTTGAATTGTATTTATAGGAAAAGCAATGAAGAACAATGTTAAGACAATTTCTCACACAGTTTTCAAAATTATAGTAACATTAACAGGCGGTGCAGTGCAGCCAGCAGCAGTACAAGTAGCACATATGAAATAAATTCCCTACAAAGGCAGGTAGTTAGTTTTTCTGTACAGTAGTTGGGTTAAAGAAAAAAACCTTGATTTTTTACGTAATATTTAGAAGAATCTGTTATATTTGCTTATAAGACATTACTAGTCTATATAAAAGACAGATCTGGGTAAGCGACTTTTGTCTGGCTGTTGTGTGTTTGTTTGAAAGGCGGTAAAAATTGCGTAGACATTTGAAAATAGTCATAAAGCCATAAATCTTTTTTATTACTTCTCATTTTAACAGTGGTTTTTAGTTAAGGTTTTTAGGTCTTTGTAGGCGTAGTTTAGTTTTTATATCAAATGTAGGAAAAAATAACTTTATACTAATTTCTGCTCTATTGTCTTCAACATGTTTTTTTTTGGATTTTTTTCTTTAAATTTTAGTTATTCTGTATTAATTTCAATTTCTCACGTTTGTCCGTTAAGGAAAATTTATTGCCATCTTGGAAAGAGATAATAAAACTTACTTTTAATTACTGGAAATAATTGAACAAACTAATAAACAAGTACAATCTTAAACATAATTTGTTGTAAACAACTACAAGTTTGACAACCTCCAAACACTTACAAACTGTCAAAAAGAAAATACTATACAAAATTTTATGATCGCGGTTTTCTTAAAATAGATCATAACACACACACACACACGCCGTTGCTAGAGAGGGTGTCTTTTTTCTCTTATAAATGTTTCAAGTCATACATTTCTCTAGAAAAATTTTTTTGTGAATGACTGATTTTGAAAGTACTTAAGGGAAAAAAGGTCTAGTATATTTTACAATTAGTTTTGACATACGCATGTCATGTCATAATTATAACGGAATGTTTATTTTTTTCTTCTTTTATTATTTAAAGAGTAGGTAAACTGTCAATCATGTTTTCATTCAGCTTTGCAACTGAATACTATTTTAAATAGCCCCGATAATTAACAAATCAACACATTTTATAAGCAACAGTAACAGTAATAACTTTAGAAATGTAAAAAAAGAGTGACAGCTTGTGGTTTTAATTAAAATTTTAAATAGAAAAATTATTTTAAAAATAAATTTACATGAAATAATAACCAGCGATTAAAATAATTTAGAAAAATTAATTTGAAAATCATGAAATAAAAAATTATTTAACAAATTTATAAAACATTTTGTTAGAAAATTTTTCATTATGATTGCATTACTTGCTGAAGTTTTTAGTGGCTGCTACTGGAATTTGCAACAGCAAATAAAAACAGCTTTTGCAACGAAAGTTTTTCTTACACTTCTGATGATAATTTTGTTTTTAATTAGTGAAAAAGCGTAATATTTGTTAAAAAGCTTTTGCAATTAAAGCTAATTTAGGATGTAAGCAACGTAATATTGTTGAACTTGCTGAAATATTTAGTTGCTGCAACATGAATTTGTAACAGCAAACAATAACGCGGCTTTTGTAAATAAATCAAGCTTTTTTTGCTTAAAAACATTTAAAATCTTCTTAAAAAGCTGTTTGCAATTTACAACAACGATATAGAACGAAAGCAGGCTTTATTAAACGCTATGGTTTTGCTTAATCAATGTGTTTGCCTTAACAATTCTATTGGAAAAGCTACTTGTTTAAAAATCTTCAAAAATGTTTATTTTGTTTTAAGAAAACTTTTAAAAAAGCTTTTTAATTTACAAAAGCTTTCAAAATAACTTTTTATTTTATAAAAGCTTTCACAAAAGCTTTTTATTTTATAAAAGCTTTCACAAAAGCTTTTGTTTTATAAAAGCTTTTTCAAATATTTATAAAGTTCCGAAAAAGCTGTTTGCAATTTTCTACAACGATGTAGAATTAATCAAAGTTTTTACCATAAGAAAAGCTTTTTATTCAAAAATCTTCTTCAAATACTTTTTATTTTTAAGAAAACTTTTTCAAAAGCTTTGTAGAATTAATCAATGTTTTTACCTTAAGAAAAGCTTTTTATTCAAAAATCTTCTTCAATAACTTTTTATTTTTAAGAAAAAAAGCTTTGATAAAATTTTATCAAAGCTTTCACAAAAGCTTTTTGTTTATTAAAGCTTTTACAAAAATATTTTGTTTTATAACAGCTTTTTGATTTTAAAAATCTTTTAGAAAAAATTGTAAAGAAAAACTTTTAGAACAGCGTTTTGTTTTAAAGAAAACTTTTGCAAAAGTATTTTGTTTTAAGAAAGCTTTTATAAAGCTGTTTACACAGTTTTAGTAAAATTTATTAAGAAACTAGTAGTAATGGCTGCATGTTTAATAAAGCTTACGCAACAAACTTTTAAAAAAGTGTTTTGTTAAAAAAACTTTAAGAAAAGCGTTTTATTTTAAAGAAAACCTTAGAAAAATTATTTTATTTTTAGAAAGCTTTTATATAAGCTATTTAAACAATTTAATACAAGAGCTTTATGTTCTAAACAAGTTTTTTTGTTTTTTTACTCAACATGTGTATAATTTTCTAATTGTTTAAAGATAGCTTTAACAGGAAGCTTTTATTAAAATGTTTTGCTTTAAGAAAGTTAAAATCTTTTTGTTTAACGAGAGCTTTCGCAAAGCTTTTTGTTTTAAGAAAGCAAGATACTTAAGACACGCTTTTTGTTTTAGACAAATTATACGAAAGCTTTATGCTTTTATGAAAGCTTTTTTCTTTGTAGAAAGCTTATACAAAAGTAGTTCTTCATTTCAAAAAAGTGCTTAAAAACCTTTAATAAAATTTTAAAAAAGCTTTACCAAAAGCTTACTCTTCTACATAAGTGGCCTCGTATGATTTAAAGATTTAAAGTAATATTTACTTAAAAACTGCTTGCTGCAATCATATTCCGTTTACAATTTCTCAGAATCATTTACAATTCTTCATTAAAATCTATCGTTAAAACAACCACTAAATCCCCCCCTAATAACAATTTTCTGCCAAAGATAACAAAAATTCCCCAAATATAAAATTAAATATTAATAATAATTATAAAATAAAAGACACACTACATCTAACCAATAAATACATAAATAATTTCTTAATAATAAACCAGAAGCAAATGAACTTTCTCAAAGAGGTCAATGAATTTTGTTTCTATCTTTTCTACTAAAGACTAAAAACAACAAGAAAATTGTTTAAAATAAGCAAAAAATACAAAAAAAATGTTAATATATTATTTGTTAACAACAAATACAAGCCCAACATACAGTTAAACTAAACTCCAAAAAAAAAAAAAAAAAGAACAATATCAGCTTTAAGTCATAGCTTAAATTGTTGTTGGATGCTGCTTTTAGAAATTAAAAAAAATGTATATATAGTTAAAAGTTTTAACTTGTGATAGCATTTATTGATACATACCAGCAATTATGTTAACTAATGCTTTTTTTTTTGTTCAGTTAAAATCTATAAAAATTTTTTAAAATGAATATGAAATTAGGAGAAATACTTATTTATTGTGTTTTTTTCTTCTAACTTTTGCTTCAAGAATAAATTAATTACATTTGACAGTTAAAGACAAGTTTGAAGAAAAAAAATATGGTTAAAGATTTAATAATTTTTTATTTAAAACTAATGGCTTTGAGGCTTAGAATGAGGACATTAACTTTAAGTTAAAAGTTTATGGGAAATACGAATGTTTTGAAATGTCTTAATTAATAATTTTAAAAAGAAATTGAACTTATAACTCCTAAAGCTAAAACAAAAAAGCTTTATTAAGCTGTTGTTTAAGCTTTAAAGCTTTTTATATACATATATTTTATACACAACTTTTAATATGAATTAAAAGGTTTTTATAAAGCTTTTTTTATTAAAACTTGTACATTTTTGTAGTATTTAAGCTTATTGTTTTAATTTAGCAAGCTTTCTTTATAATTACAAACAATTTTGAAAACCCCTAGATTTATCTACACTGTTTATCCCCTTTTTTTTACAATTAGTTTTCTTTTGTATTTTAATTTAACATTAATTATACTTCTAGTTATCACAAATAATTAATCTTTAAACTTTCTTTCTAACTAAATTTTTTTTTCGTCTTTTCATATGTCTTTTTACAGATTTATGTTAATATAATATTTTTGGCTTTCGTATATAAAAAAGTTTTTGGAAGAGATATAAATACTACAAGAAACAACAACAACATCTACAAAACGCAGAACATATTGACAGCAAAAACTACAAAGAAAATTACAAATATTTTTTTCTGGCAAGTAAGTACAGTTTAATATATATACTAAATTAGTTAAAAACTAAAAAAATGATTCAAACAAAATTAAAAATTAAGAACTTGCTAAACTTTAGAGGTTTTAACAAGATTTCATGTTCAAAGAAAGCTTTACTGAAACTTAAAAAAACGAAACAAGTCTTAGAAAAAAGTTATTCGTTTAAAGAAAGTTTTTATTTTTGGTAAAATTTTACATAAAGAAATTTTGAGCCGAAAAAGCTTTTTTTATATTTTAGAAAAGTTTCTAGAAAAGCTTTATCAAAATGTTTAAAAACTACTTTTTGTAACAGTTTTTACAAAAGTGTATCGTTTTATAAAAGCCTTTAGTTTTACAAAAGCTTGTGCAAAAGCTCTATTTAAGTAGAAGCTTTTGCAAAAGCTTTACTGAATATTTTTCGAAAATAGTCTTAGAAAACATTTTTTAATACAAAAATGCTTTAGGAAATCGCCCCAAAAGTTATATGTTTAAAGAAAGATTTTAGAAAAGCTTTTTCATAATGCCTTTGCAAAAGCTTTTCTCTGTTTTTTTTAGAGTTTTGCAAAAGTTTTTACATAAAAAAATGTTGCAAAAAAGCTCTATATTTTAATAAAATTTTTCCCAAAAAGATTTTGTCAAAAAGCTTTATATTTTAATAAAGTTTTTGTTAAAAAGCTTCATATTTCAAAAAAGTTTTTTCGAAAGCTTTTTGCTTATAAAAGTTTTTACTAGCTGTTTTTGTTTTAGTTTTTGCAAAAGTTTTTTGCTATATAAAAGCTTTTTCATAAAGATTTGAAAGTTTTTCAAAGAAAATTCTTACAAAACCTTTTATTTTATAAAAGCTTTTACAAGATATTTTTATTTTATAATAGCTTTTACAAAATCTTTTTATTTTTGAAAAGCTTTTACAAAATATTTTCTTTGTATAAAGCTTTACGACAGCATTTTGTTTCACTAAAGTTTTACAAAATGCTTTTATAAAATAATCTTTTAAAGTAGAAGCTTTTTCAAAAGCTTTACTGAACATGTTTCTTTAGAAACTTAAGGCAACTTTTTTGTATTGCAAAAAAATCTGAGAAAACTTGTTTTTGTAAAAAAAACTCGGATGTTTGAAGAAAATTTTACAAAATATTTTTGCAAAAGCTTTTTCTTTTAAAAATGCTTTTCTCATAAAGCTTTTCTTTTTAATGAAGTTTAAAACTTTTAGTTTTAATATAGTTTTGCATAAGTTTTTTCTTTTAAAAAGCTTTTCTCATAAAGCTTTACTTTTTAATGAAGTTTAAAAAAGCTTTTCTCATAAAGCTCTTCTTTCTAATGAAGTTTAAAGCTTCTATTTTTAATATAGTTTTGCAAAAGTTTTTTTCTTTTAAAAAAGCTTTTCTCATAAAGCAATGAAGTTAAAGCTTTTAGTTTCAATATAATTTTACATAAGTTTTTTCCTTAAAAAAAGCTTTTCTCATAAAGCTATTCTTTTTAATTAAGTTTTGTAAAGGCTTTTACATAAAGATAATTTACCAAAAAGCCTTATATGTTAAGAACGTCATTTATAAAGCTTTTAAAACAGCGTTTCGTTTTACAACAGTTTTTATAAAAGCTTTTTCTTATAGCATTTACAAAGTCTTTTGGTTTTAATAAAGCTTTTGCAACATAGTTTTGTTTTAAAAAATGTTTAAAAGAGCTTTTGAAAAACCTTTTTAAACTTAAACATACCCTTTAAGGAAAGTTTTTATAAAAAAAAGCTTTTTGCTTTTTTAAATAAATTTAAAAAAAGCTTTTAAAACCCTTCTACTTAAACACAACTTTTACAAAAAGGCTTTATATTTGAGGAAAGTTTTTTATAAAAAAAGCTTTTTGCTTTTTTTAATACATTTTTAAAACAGCTTTTGAAAAACCTTAAACATACCTTTTACAAAAAAGCTTTATCTTTGAGGAAAGTTTTTATAAAAAAGCTTTTTGCTTGGTGTGTATTACGTTTTTCAGATAGTCAATTTGAACATATTGTTGAAATGAAATGCAATTTGGAGTACTTCATCATTTTGAATAAAACTTAAAAGCTTTTTTAAGTTTTTGCTTAGTGCTTTTAGTTTTCTACTTACTTAGTCTGTACTTTAAAATATTGTTCCTTAATTTATGCTGGAACGCAATTAAATAGTTTTTTTTTGTGTTCCCATCAAATCGCGTAATTTCATTTAATATTTTGCTTTTTGTCTATCTTAACATCTAATAATTGAAAATTTCCTTTAATAAAGTCTACAATTCAATAACAACGAAACGAAAAAAAAAATCAATTAACCAACAAAATATAATAAAAAAAAAATAACACAAGTACATATATAAAAAAATAACAGACATTTGATTAACTTTGCAAAAAAAACTGCTGCTCAAAAAAAAAAGATACTGCTGGACGGACCCCACTTAAATCAACAAAATTGTACAACAACAACACACAGAAAAAAAAGAAGCATGCGCCAGGCTGCCGAAAAAATATCAAAGGGGTACTTGTTTGAATTGTTCTATATAAAAATAAAACTGATTTCTTGTTGTTGTGATTTTTTTCTATAAAAGAACTTTAATTCAATTGTTTGCATCATGCGTGTACTTGAGTTTTTAATTCATATAAAAATTGTTTTTTTGTGATATTTTTTTTTTTGGTAAAGAAATCTCAAATAATAGTTGTATGATGCTGAGGCTGTGGCGCTTATTTTTTTAATTTTTGGAGGAATATTGTCGAGTGTACCACCAGCCTACAAAATAAGTAATAATAATAATGATGATGATGTTGTTATTGTTGTTGTTGTTGGTGTTGAGGATGATACTTTGTATATGGTGTATGTTTTCATTTAGTAGGAAGTCATGGGTTTCAATTTGGTATGATTTTGAATGAGTTCTTTTTTTGGGTAGAATTGGTTGTTGTTCTTTTCTAAAGAGTTTATGAACTTAGAAAGTCATAACTATAAATTTAATTTCTTTATGAAATATTTACATTTTAATGGGAAATTCTCAATATGGGGTCAAATGCAGTACACAGCCAACAACAGCTACAGTAACAAATACATATGTACACACACATATATATAAATTATTATGACATTATTATAAGTATGTAGTTGAGTTCAAAGCTAATTATGTATTATTGTTGTAGTTTTTACTTAGTTTTTTTTTTTTTGTTTTAATTATAAAACATTAAGTCGCTAGCTTCTTCATCAGACATAAAAATTGCCCACCCACTTACTTAAAACTTAAAAGACAAAACAAAACAAAAAAAAACAAACTAAAATTAAAAATTAAATACGTCCTTCAATTAAGCTGCTAGTAAGTAACCCAACCCAAGTGTTTTAAGTCTCTTTTAAATTTTGCTCTAGTAAGTAATTTAGCCAAAACGTTACATCCATACTTCATTAGAAGCTTTTAAATACTGTTTGTGTGTGTTTTTTTTTTAGTTTTTTTTTTTGCATAATAAATTATTATGTTGCTGTTGCTGTTTGCAGTTGCCTTTAATAGACAATTGAACATTTATTAATTTTTCCGGTTTTAATTTTATTTTTCTCCTTATTATCTTTTTGTTTGTTCATACATACAAATCTTAAATGATTATTGTGGAAAAATTTATTATAATTTTTTGTTTTTCTTAGGCTGTGTGTGTGTGTTCTATAGCCATAAACGAATTTCAATTCAAATATCAATTAGCAATTCCAACTACTTGATCAATATTCAATAATATACTAATAATAATCAATAATAACAAAAATTGTATATAGTTTGTTTTATTTGTTATTTTATTATTATTTTTTTCGTATGGCTTGACTTACGAATAAATGAGAAAAAAAAAATAAAATAACCAACAACAAGCAAAAGCATATGTTTAAAAGCTAATGTCATATAATATAAAGGCGTAGTATAGCTGTTACATTTGCTTTCCCCCCAAAACTGTATATTTTGAAATAGTTTTTACAAGATAAGAAACGGTTTTTACAAATCTTTTTGCTTAAAGACAACTTTTTAATAAGAGAAGCTTTTATAAAGCTTTTTCCTTAAAGAAAGCTTTTACTAAACTTTTCAAATAAAGAAAACTTTTACAACGCTTTTTGAATAAGGGAAACCTTTATGAATAAACGGAATTTTAAAATGAGCTTTTACAAAGCTTTTTATTAGTAAATGAAGCCTTTAAGAAGATATTTATAAAGAATGCTTTAACAAAAAGATTTTTGAATAAAGGAAGCTTTTAAGATGCCTTTTGTATAAATAAAGCTTTTTCAGTAAATTGTTTATAAAGCTTTTTGTATAAGTACAGATTTGGCAAAGCTTTTTGATTGAATAACAACTAACAACAATACTTTTCTAATGAATTTATAAGCAAGAATAATTAAAGCTTTATATATAAGTAAAGCTTTTCAAAGACTTTTGAACAAAGTAAAGTTTTTAAATAAATTATACTTTTCTAAAGAATTTTTAATGAATCAAACTTTTCTAAAGCTTTTTGTATAAAATTAGCTTTTTAGCAAGATTTTTAAAGCTTTTTTAAAGCTTTTTATATTGAGCACGCTTTTTTGAAACGTGTTGTATAAAGAAAGCTTTTCTTTCTTTTATTTTTCGTATAAAGCTTTATAAAGCTTTTTGTACCAAGCAAGCTTTTATAAACATTGCACAGACTGCAAGCTTTTTCTATAAAATAATCTTTTTTAAAGCTTCTTTTTATTAATTACTTTGTTTTTAAGCAAGCTTTTGCAAAAGGTGTTGTATAAAGAAAGCTTTATGAATTGTTTCGTTAAAAAAGATTTTTATAGAGAGTTAAGCAAGCTTTTATTAAGCTCTTTGTATAAAACAAACGTTTGTAAAGCTTTTTGTTCGTTTTTAGAGAGTTTTTATAAGCAAGCTTTTTTAAATAAAAAATAAAACTTTTTGAATGATACAGCTTTTAGTAGATTTCCACATAAAACAAAATTTACAATGATAAAAAGATGATTTAACTAAGCTTTTTGAATAAATTAAGCTTCTAAACTGATTTTTGA